ACACCGCCACACATATAATTAGGAAAAGTCAATCTTGATATATTTTTTTTTTATAAAATTCTATGTTTTGATGAGGTACCAAACATTTAATTACTGCATTAGGTATTTATTATCTTAAATTAATTGTAAAAATGACAAAAAAACATTACAATTTAAACACAGAAACAAGATGGTTTTTTTTTTGTAATTTTGAATTATAGTACTCTTAAGTCTTAAACATTAAACACTGCAGTTTTTTCTTAAGCAACGTATAATTAATTATTCTATATTATCTTAAAAATAATGGTTAAAAAATAATGCAGTCTTAACTTTTGAAGGTTTACATTTTTCACGGTGAATTTAAATATGCAGCATGTACTTCGTATTTAACGGTTATCGCCTATTATTATATACATTAGTAGAACTTAAATCTATTTATGTACACTAAATAACAGTAAAAATAATCACAAAAAAAATAAAACAAAAATAATAATATTTAAGATAATAGTAATAATTATAATTATAATAGTAAAAAATAAACTATGTATAATGGGTTATAATTACAAAAACCATCGAAAGTATGAACATTAAATAAATCAAATAAATAAATCCAACTGAAGTGTGACTGATTTTGAATTATTTGAATTACTTTTCATATACTCCTTATTGTTTCAATAGTTTACCATTGTTTGTAGTCAATATATTTTGCAAAGGTTAGCTATTTTTGCATATCAAAATACCATCTTAACAAGCATTCCTATTTACAGAAATATCATTTTTGGGTTAGGTCATACAATCATTTATATATATCTTTTAGTAACGTATTAGAATCTTTTTTATCTCCAAACGAACCCAATACCCCCAATTTATCAGTTTCGAAGAAACAGATATCCAAGACCCCAGTTTCAAAACTTAAAAATGGAGTAAAAGCAAAATTCAAGTGTACTGATCTATCAAGTGACAGCGAACACGAAGAAGTTATTAAAAATACCACTCTTAAAATTTTGTTTGGAAATAAAAAAGATACTTATACGTTACTAAAAGATATTTATAAATGATTGTGTGGCAAAAACAAAAATTATATTTCTGAGTGGTGATTATTTTAAGAGTGATATTTTTAGTATCTTCTTTGTGTTCTTGATAGATCAATAACACTTGAATTTTGCTTTTGATCCATTTTTAACTGCTGAAACTGATGGTCTTGGATATCTGTCTCTTCGAAGCTGATAAACAGTTTCTAAATTCTAGAACAGTTTCATATAATTTAAATTTTGAAAAAGTTTGCAAGAATATAAAATAATTTTTTTTATTTCCTATACCAAGCTTCTTTTAAACTAAATGTTTAAATATAATGAAGTATATAGTATGTATGTTCACTATGTTAAGTCTAATACTCTAATGTATATTAAAATCAGTTTATACATTTAATACATTTTCTTTTACCAATGTTTCCTATTTAGTATTATATTTATGTTCTCCAGAAAAATTACTTAAAATATGCTCAGAGTCCAAAGAGGGTCTATGCCTAAGCTCCCTGGTTACACCACTGACAAAATTTCTGACTGCTAAAAATTATAGCTTAAAATTGTTTATTAAACAGTACTTTAAGTACCGTAAATGGGGTAACTTTGTCTCACCTCCAAATATCGCTATAGATTGGCTGTTTACACTACTTTGGGCTAAAGTTAGCCTATGCTAGGTTAATTAGCAAGTACCTGAGAAATAATTTAACCAGGTTTTATAGTAAAACAAGCTGTAATATATCAAACTTACCAAGTTCTACGGACTACGGTGATTGAATATATTGGAATGAAACAAAAGTTTTGAGAGGTGCTTTTAACAGTCCAAAAATTGCGTTGACATAACAAATATATATTAATAACAATACAAGTGATAGCGCCAAAAACTGTTATCACATTCGGTTACCAGTGTTGTCAGCAACACAGATATAAAATATAAAGTATTTTATATCTGTGGTCAGCAATCAGAATCAACCACAATATTTTGATAATAGTCACATTTCTTATCACAGTGTACAGAAGTTTTCAAAATTCCAACTGTGGGCCAAAGTTATCTCCCGGGGCCAAAGTTACCCCGTTTTACGGTACCTACAAAATATAAGCTTGTACCTATTTATTTTAAAAAGTGTGTACTTAACTCTTACTTAATTCTAAAAAGTAAAAACTCTCTCTTCAATTAGAGTTGCAACTTTTCGACTACAAGTGAGTAATGAAATAAAAATGTATACACTCATAGTTATAGTTAATCCATTAATATTTATCAATTCAATTCATTTTTAACTTATTTTTCCCAACATGATGACACTTGTAACTAGGTACTCATAAAAATACACTTTAACATCAATTTTTATTCAATAAAAATAATAATTCATGTTCAAATATTATAAAAAATTAATTTACTTTTCTAAAAAATTTTCTGAGGTATAATGGAAAAAACAGTTTGGAACAATTAAAAGAAAAAATAAAATTCTAATTTATAAATGTGCTTCTATCACAAATGAATACTTTTGTAAATATTTACTTTTAACACTAATTTAATTTTAAAAAACAAGTATAATTCATTATTTTAAAATAAAATGAAAAAAGGCAGGTAAGTGGATGTCGCTCAGCTGTAAAGTAGGTTACAAGTTGGTCATTGTTTAATGGATTGTATTAAACTTGAATTCAATGATATAATATCATTGTATAAGAAAAACGATTCTGAACGGAGACGGTTTGTCAGTCTGTATATTTTATATTGTCATTAATTATTTTATTTATTTAATTATTATTTTTTTTATTCGTTGCTACGGTGATAAACAAATTGTTAGAAATTAAAATCCCATTTTAAGCGGTTTTTCGTAATTTTTCAGTACTTTTTCCCGTGGCATTAAATAACTATTGAGAAAATCGAAAAATGACCTCTCTAAAGTACCATCTTGGTCCAATTTGCTAAAAGATAAGGTACTATATGTTGAAATCAAAGCACTCCTTCTGGTAGAAATTTTGTATACAGGATATAAAAATAAAAAAATTTAAAAAATAAACACCATTGTAAAACCACTAGCTTCCGCTGAGACTCCGCTCAGAATCTAAAATTTAATATTTAAGAAGATCTGGCTGTTTAAATTATTATTAATAAGATTTATAAAAAATATATAATAATATTCATAGTATTAAAGACCCTAAAATAAAACTATATAATATGTAACTATTAAGTGCATTACTCTAGGCTTACCTAAAGTTATTTTATCACACACTAATGACCTTTTTTTTAGTGCATTATAAATACCTACATTATAATAATTTATGTGTTAAAATCACATTAACGTAAAAATAAATACTTTAAACGCCTATTCTTTGTACTTGGGTTGGATTTTTGAATTTTTCAGAATCTAAAATTAATATTAAGTAATTACTGATTTATTAAAATATAATTCCTTTTTATTTGGTCATCTACTCTTATAATTTTACAACTAGGTATACTTTGTTGTTACTTTTCTTTTGGCAAGTTAAAGGTATGTATACTTACATTAATTATATTTAATATTGATGTAAATAATAAAACTTATTATTTAAAATAATGTTTCTTGTCTAACCCTAGATTGCTAACCATACATCAATGTGACGAACACTGATAATTTTATTGTTGCTATTTTTTGGCATTTTATCTCCCCATCTTGTATCTCTCATTAATTATGTTCCATATCTAGCCCGATAATGTTTTAAAAAAAGGTTCTTTTACTAATATTATTAACAATAAAGTTGTTCAAAAGTTTAATTATTGTGTTTTTGTTAATTATATTTTTGATTTATTTAATTGAACTAACTACAAAAATGTTAATTGTTTATAATATTTATAGTATTCGTAATATTGATAAATGGTTAGAAATAAAGACGGATAAATAAGGTTAGTAATCTAGGGTTAAAATAAAAATTGAAACGTAAAAGGAAATAAATTATACCTTTGAACTAAGTATATTTATCAATCTAAGGATAAATAAAAATATAAATACATAGGTACTATACATATTTTATTGCATTATAAAAAATATTAATACAATACTGTATTTTAAATAATTGATATAGACTAGGTTGTCTAATAAATAAAAAAAAAGCTATTATTAAATAGATTGTTACATAGCAATACAAGCCATTGGTATTTGAATATTTACAGTAACATTTAAGAATATGATTTCTTTGAATATTATGATTACATTATACATTTTAAATTAACAGAGTTACTACTACCTTACACTCTATTACCTTGTATCCAATGTATCCCTATATAATATTTCTCTTAAATAAACATCCATCACAATATGCCTACAATATTGTACATATAAGTTATAATTAAATACAAGAGAAATATCAATGACAAAAATGAATCTTGATTTTTGTGGCAACTGCAAAATATGTTTTCACACGAGTCATTATAAATAAAATAATTAACTGTCTATAAAAATAAAACTGTTACTGGATTCTTCAAAAAACTATTATTATACAAATCAAATTATCAAGGAAAATATAAACAAAATCATAACAGTGAAAACATTCAAATCAAATATGTAAAAATCATACAATTTCAATTACTTTAACCCGAAAAACATGTTTAAGAATAAAAAAAAAATGGATTTAACTATTTACGCTATAGGTGCTGATTCTTATTTTATTTGTATAAACAATTTTTAAAGTTTTCAAATATAATCAAATAGCTATTACACCGTAAATCTGAAATATTATTAGTGTTGCATAATTATTATCTTGGTATGAATCTCTTGGTAGATAAAACGAGGTTTAATAAGTATAACACATATATGGTTGTGTCATTTTTTATGCTTTGGTTCATAGGAATATATTTTAACATTGAAAATTAGCTTATTTAGTTAACATTTTTTATTAGAACGGTTTACTACTGCTCCTAATCATAAAATTAACAAAAGCACACTGAGAGTTCTATCAAGATACAACAGAAAAAAATGCAACGGGTTTTTTCTTTTCATTTTAGGTGGTGGCTTGTTACTAATCACTATCATCGGAATCAGTGGACTCATCGCTAGTCAGATCAGTATATTTAAGTAGTATATCATCGAATGTTTCTTTGTTAATTTTTACAGTTTTACTACATTTTAAATCAGGAAATCGCATTTTAATACTATGGTCGGGTTTCTTCATTGTACCATCTTCACTGCTACCATAATTTTCACCAACAGCATCATTAAGTTCCTAAAAACAAATAAAATATAAATATAAAATGTTAAATACATTATTTAAGGGACAAAATGTATTACCCGACAAATGTTTAGAAGATCAGATTGAAAATTAATAGCATCATTAAAAACTATAGAGTCGGACCTATTGATCATTAGAGCATTATATGATAAGAGCAAAAGATTTACTTGAAGTTCTGCGAGGTTTCTTATTTCTCCTGTAGCAATCTTCCTTTTAATATCTCGTGCTTCAATTGGACTGTAAAATAAACAATTTTTCAATAAATATAATGTCATAAACATAAGTAAAATAAAATAATAAATGTTCATCCTTGAAAGGAATTTATAGGAATAATATAAACGAAACACAAAGTTAATTTAAAAACAATTAAATTATAATTGAAATAAGTAGATTAAAAAATATGTTATAAAATGAAAAAATAATTATAGCAGGTACAAATGCAACAATATATAATATGTAGTATTAATTTCAAACTTTATTTTAAATTATATTTTATATTACTACATTTTACAATGGACTTGATTCAATCAGAATGTTAAATCCTGTAAAAATATAATACAGAGAAAACTCCAATAGTGGAAAAAACATTGATTAAGAGATCGTTACACAGACATTTGTTGTTTCCGTCATACAAGTGTCTAACATACTAAATTTTACGGTTGAAAATAAAATTTAAAGGTAAGATTATAATCATTTTTCTTTTACAAGCTTTTTATTATATTTTAATTTCAAAGCAAGTTATAAGTACTTTAAAATTGTTTGTAGATTTTAAAATCTTAAAATACTCATAACTTGCTTTGAAATTAAAATATAACAAATAGCTGGGGCCTGGGAGATGCCCTAGATAATAATTTTACACTTACATTTTATTAGAGGTCAATTCATTCTAATTTTTAAACTAACAGAGATAAACGTGACCTATGTTACTCCCTTGTAAGCTGTAAGACGGAGACAACAAATGTCTGTGTAACAATCTCTTAATTAAGGTTTTTTCCAAAAAAACATCTGTGTTATTAACAGTAGGTACGTGCCCGCTGGAGAGCGCTCCGCTATTTATTCTATAGTCACTCACACTAATGAGGCACACATTTATACGACTCACATGCAAACACACAGAATATTGCCTATATTGAACTCCTCAAACAGGGTACAGACCTGTTTTAATACACAGTATAAATACACCTTAATTGAATATATATAATGATGCAAATATTAATCATTACTTTTAAGTTTAAACTAATAAATAATAATTAAAATGAATTACTTTCATAAATTGTGTGACTTTTAACTGGGATTTTAAATATGCTTACCATTTTATAACACCAGCATATGGTGGAGGTATATCCGTAACTTCCTTGTTCAGAGTTGAAATATATTTGCTTTTTTCACATAAATTGTTAAAAACAAATTTCATAAGCCTCTTGCATGTTTCATTATTTTCATTAGACCTAAAAAAAAATCAAATTGACAGTAATCAAACATATTTGTATAGTATATTAATATAATATATATATGGGACTATATTATTATGTATTATTATCAGACTCCTCTCAATATATTATATCAGTATTATTGTCATACTGTTACTATTGTCAATTTGTTGTGGTCACAATGCCACACAGACCGGGTAGTGTCAGTGAACCATAATGTTTTGTACCGAGTAATTTAGTTGTGCATAATACAACATTAACTCAAAGGAAAACAAAATTATAATTAATTAAAATTAACATAAAAATTCATCTTACTTCTCCACACATTGTTTTTTAGATTGACGTGGCTCAACTGTGGTTGAACGTGGCTGAGCATAACTGCAAATGACATAATATTTATAATTTTTAACCAAGAACTTGAGAATGAAGTTTATAAAATATTTAATTATAATAATATATATATATATGTCAATGAAGAAAACTTTATGATGGTCCAATAAATACATGTCGACTTGATTAAAAATAAGACTACATACAGGCAGATGTATTCAGCTATACAGAAGAAAGATTTATAAAATGTATAAATAAGGATTTAAAAATTTAAAATTAATTTGAAATTAATATTATTAATGAATGAAAAATAAAACATTGTTATGATTTTGTTTATCAAAATAAGAAGTACAAATTTAATAAGAATTCAACAAATAATAAATTATTGATTCCATTATAAAAACAATTCATAATTCATAATATACCATAATTTTAAAATTATATTTAAGTTTCATACCTATTAGACTCTTGTTTTTCATTTGGAAGGTCAATCCGACGCTTGCGACCTCGTTTCTTAGGAAGCGGCTTATCTAATTGAGTTGTAGTTACAGTTTGCTTTTGAATTTGGACATGTGTTCTATAAAACAAAAATGTCAATATGAAATTAACTTTAACATCTATAGTATAGTTAAGGGAAATTTGCTTACGGTTTAATATATATACATATGGGACTATATTATTATGTATTATTATCAGACTTCTCTCAATATATTATATTATTATTATATCAGTATTATTGTCATACTGTTACTATTGTCAATTTGTTGTGGTCACAATGCCACACAGACCTGGTAGTGTCAGTGAACCATGATGTTTTGTACCAAGTAATTTAGTTGTGCTTACAGTAATAATATATAGTAATTTCATAGTACTTGAAATGTGTTTGTTAATGTTTGTTAATCACCCGCAGTGAATTAAAAGTTATATAATACCTACTGTATTAACTTCTACATAACATATATATTATATGTATTATAAAAATATAATAAAGACTTTCACATAATTTGAAATACCATTTTATATGTTTATATCTTTATATGGGAAACATTTTAAAACTGTTATTAACATGTTAAATAATTTCATAATTTATATAGAAGTTATTAAATAGATAATTATTCATGCAGTTATATAATTAAAACATAATTTTCAAAATCAATAAAAAAAATTAAGATATTTTAATATCATTTATTTAGAAAACTATTTTACGATATGCATAAAACAATAAATATTTTATGATAATTGATGACTACCCTTTAATAGACACACTCTAAGGAAAATTTGACAAACAAATATGACGGTTCTTTGATTATATGGAACATTATTTAAAAAATATTATATTCATACTTCCAATAATAATTAATTAGCACTTAATAAGTCTCAGTGACTAACACATATTTCATTAATCCATTCAAAAAAAATTAGCAATATAAATTTTAAGATATAATTCTTAACAAGGTTTAACAAGTTGACGACTGCCAAGGTATTTTTATAGAGCTATCCTCATACGCAATGAGTAGCAAATATGGTACTCAGTGACGAAATCAAGAAAAAAAACTAGTAGTTACCAAGATCAAACGGTTATCAAGTGTCAAATGGCATGTGAGTACCCGGCTAGCTCAGTCGGTAGAGCACGAGACTTTTAATCTCGGGGTCGTGGGTTCAAGCCCCACGTTGGGCGCCACTGTCGTATACCTATCACTCGATGGTACACGAAATAATCGATCAAAATCCACAGCTATTAAAATTACTTTTTGTATGTAGAAACAAACACATCAAAATACGAGTCTACATACACATACGTGTCTCACCAGGAAACCCGCACTGCCCCGTTACCGTGGTGCTTGCGTCTTTTTATATTATATTACAATATGCTGCCTCAGCTCATTTGCTTCATTAACCTATTATTATGAATATTAAAATGTCTATTATTATTATTATTATTAATTAGGGTACACATACAACAATTGGTACTCATGGCGTATGAGGATAGCTCTATAAAAATACCGTGGCGCAGGAGACAAACCATGTGAGTACCAGATAGGGTACTCACGGCAGGTCAACTTGTTAAAAGTGTTTAGAAACCAATATTATAAACAAATATATAAACTAACTATACATATTATAGATAAAATTTATAAAGTCTTTGCATATTGTATACTAGACAGTGTAGGACTCATACCAGAGAGTATACTAGGTGACTACCAGGGCAGGTTTACACCCAATAGATCTACAAGCGAGTACAACATTCTCTCAAAGGGAAATAAAATTATAATTAATTAAAATTAACATAAAAATTCATCTTACTTCTCCACACATTGTTTTTTAGATTGACGTGGCTCGACTGTGGTTGAACGTGGCTGAGCATAACTGCAAATGACATAATATTTATAATTTTGAACCAAGAACTTGAGAATGAAGTTTATAAAATATTTTATCAAAAATTAACATAAAATTGCATCTTACTTGTTCATGGCTTCCTTTTTACGACCACGTAGACCAAGACTCCTTCTGGTTCTTTTAGCTGGAGGTTCTACCTCCTATAGAAAACCATATTACAAATTAATACAATAATTTGAACAAATATAAATAAATTTTAAAATGTTAAATAGGTAACATACTTTTATTGATGTATTACATTTTGCCGCATTTTGAGATGTTCTATTTCTACTGAAATTAACACAAAGCAAATTCAAATTTAAAAAAATGTACAACTTATTGCAAAATATTAGAAGTAAACATAAATGTAGCTATATAAGCGTCAAGGGGTTAAGAATTATAAATAGTTTCATTGATATTTTTTTAGAAACTAGTTTTACTTTTATTAATTAATATTTGTTATCAATTGTATTAGTTGTTTTTTATAGCTAGAATTCATAACTATCAACATTCCGCATTTATATATGTAAAAACTATATACTATTAACTATAGTTACAATCTGAATGTAAAACAAAAATGTATACATTTATAATGCAATAGAACCACAATTGTTTTAATTCAATTCGATTCTCGACCACTGGGCGGCATTTTTCTCCGGACAAGTCACGGTGTCTGGAGAACAAGTGCCGCCATCCCCCACCCAGGCATTGCAGATACCTACGGGTGCCCAATCAAAAATTCTACCAAACACAACACACACGTGTAAAAACCCTACCAATACAAACCCTACTACCTACAAATCATAAAACCCCACAATTAGCTAATGGCCATAGTCGCCGGGCTTTAAAAGATCAATAAAAAAAAAAAAAAAAAAATTGTTTTAATATATATATATATATATATATATGTCAACGAAGAAAACTTTATGATGGTCCAATAAATACATGTCGACTTGATTAAAAATAAGACTACATACAGGCAGATGTATTCAGCTATACAGAAGAAAGATTTATAAAATGTATAAATAAGGATTTAAAATTTTAAAATTAATTTAAAATTAATATTATTAATGAATGAAAAATAAAACATTGTTATGATTTTGTTTATCAAAATAAGAAGTACAAATTTAATAAGAATTCAACAAATAATAAATTATTGATTCCATTATAAAAACAATTCATAATTCATAATATACCATAATTTTAAAATTATATTTAAGTTTCATACCTATTAGACTCTTGTTTTTCAGTTGGAAGGTCAATCCGACGCTTGCGACCTCGTTTCTTAGGAAGCGGCTTATCTAATTGAGTTGTAGTTACAGTTTGCTTTTGAATTTGGTCATGTGTTCTATAAAATTAATTTAATATTTTAAATAACTATACATAACAATCTCTGATATAAAACATAATTGAGTGTATTGGAATATTGGGGTAATGTAAAATTTCAAATTGATTTAATTTTTATTTTACAACCAAAACATTATTTTATTAATGTTCTTATATTTTAATACTAGTGTAATAAGGTAATATAATAACTGTGGAAATTAAAAATGTTCGTTAATTATCTATAAATTATCCTAGTGCCCAATTTTACACTCAATCAATAGATTCGATACCATACTATACTGTACATAGATTTATTATTCAGTATCTAATACTGTAGGAGAAGATTTCTTACCCAAAAACTACCATTAAGTTTATAAAATATTTTATCAAAAATGTAATATAAAATTGCATCTTACTTGTTCACAGAATCATTTTTACCTCGAAGACTCATTCTCGTCCTTTTGGCTATAGGTTCTTCCTCCTATAGAAAACCAATTAACAAATTAATACATTAATTTGAACAAATATAAATAAATGTTAAAATTTTGAATAGGTATCATACTTTTATTGATGTGTCACTTTGTTCCTTTTGAGATGTTTTATTTCTGCTGAAATTAACATAGACAATTTTTAAATTTAAAACAATTTATAAGACTTATTGCAAAATATTGGAAGTAAACATTCATGTAGTTTGTTGCTACAAGCGGTTAAGAACTATAAATAATTTTATTGATGTTTTTTTAGAAACTAGTTTTACTTTTATTAATTACTATTTGTTATCAATTGAATTAGTTGTTTTTTATCCATAGAATTCATAACTATCAATTTATATATGAAGAAACCATATAATATTAACTATAGTTAACATCTGAATGTAAAACAAAAATGTATAAATGTATAATGTAATAGACCCTCAATTGTTTTAATATCAACGAAGAAAAGTATATGATGGTCCAAATTTTACATGTCGAATTAATTAAAACTGAGACTACATACAGGCAGATGAATTCAGCTATACAGAAGAAAGATTTATAAAATGTATAAATAAGGATTTAAAAATTAAAAATCTGTTAAAATTAATATTATTAAATGTAAATGTAAATGTAAAATAAAACATTTTTATGATTTTGTTTGTCAAAATAAGAAGTACATATTTAATAGGAATTCAAGAAATAATAAATTATTGATTTCATTATAAAAACAATTCATAATACATAAACATAATCTACCATAATTTTATAAATTATATTTAATTTTCATACCTATTTGATGACTGTTGTTGTGTATTTTCAACTTCACTTCGAGGTTTGCGGCCTCGTTTCTTAGGAGGTGTCTTATCTAACTGACTGGTATTTACAATTTGGTCAAGTGTTCTATAAAATTAATATAATATTTTAAATAATTGTATACAAAAATAACTATTAATTGGCTGTATTATAATATTTGTGCAATATGTTATTTGTACTTAAATATTTTATGAATTATTATCAATTAAAACTTTTATGTATAATTTAAATTTTTATTCATGTTCTATAATACAAAAATGTCAATATGAAATTAACTTTAACATCTATATTATAGTTAAGGGAAATTTGCTTACGGTTTAATTTCTTGTTGCTTTATAAAGTTGTTAACTGATCGTTGATGTACTTTGTGAAGTGGAATTTGACTTTTAGATAACATTTCTAAAGGGATGAACAATGTTCTACCACAGTTAATTTCATTAAGCGTATGTTCATTGAGAGTTTTTGGGGGACTTCTTGATCTTGTGGTCTGATGATCGGGGTATGTAGAATTGGACACAATAGTCTTTGTTAATACAGTTTCTTTTGGAATGATTGCTTTAACATTATCTTGGTCTTGCTTTGAAGATGTAGTTTCCAAAGTAATTTTTTGGTTAAACGATGATGATAGGGTAAGAGTTCTTGGAATACCAATAACTTCACGATTCAAATTTTCTTTTCTAACAATGACACTAGGGTCAATGTTTATATCTCTATTGTTCTTATTATCATATAATGTCTTTGAAGTGGTATTCCGTTTACTATTATCATCTGTATTCATCAATTTTTTTTTATATTCATGACTAGGAATTGATGGATTCTCGATACTAGTTGAACTTCCACTATATGATGGGGATCCGAGATATTTTATTTGTGGTCGTAGTTTAGTAGACACATTTTTATAAACATATGATTCTTTAAGCTTTTCTTCAACCTTTAGTCCCCTTGTCTTAGTGATCATCTTAACTTCAGTTGAATTTGTTTCTATTTCTTTAGAGGTTTTTCCTTCAAGTCCCATACACTTCATTATTCCGCGTTCTCTTAGATTAAATGTTTCATAATCATCATTTGTAGGCGCTTTTCTACTTTCAATCAATTCTCGTTCTATATTTGTATCATTTTCAAAAATGTGATCATCACATTCATCAATAGGTTCATTTTTAATTAATGTTGTAGTTAACAAATTTTTCTTTAAAAAGCTCTCCATATCGGCTAAATTTTTTTTTTCTATTATTTGGTTTCTGTTCATACCAAGAATATCTTCTTCTTTTTTCATCATCACTGGGATTTCAATATTTTTTTCTTTAGTATCTTTAATGTCTTTTGAAGTAAATGATTTTTGTCGTACTCTAGTGATCTGAGCAAAGGTATCAAAAGCTCCAATAGTTGAATCATCTTGATCCACACCAGCTGTATTTATACGTTCCTCCGTTTCATTACTATATAACGAACTATCTTGAAGACACTGTTTTTTTGTAGTATCTAAAATATTTTGGGCTTTTCCAAACATATTCCATGGTGTTTTATCATTTTTATTTATTTTTTCATCCAATTGAAGTGTTGTTGATTTTGAATTACTTGAAACAGTAGAAGAAAAGGCTTTTGATTCAACTTTACTTAATAACTCCTTCGCTTTCATTGTTGTCCTATTATCTTCGTTAATATTTATATCATCATCAATAATAACAACATCATCAGCAGGCAATGAACAACTACTATCAATTAACTTAACCACATTAAGGGAACTATTATTCAATCTAATAGGTTTATTAACATCGGTGTTTGAGATTTGAATATCATTAGTTTTATTTATCTGCTCTGAAGCAAATTTCATGTTAAATGGTTTCTTGATTTTGTTAACTACTTCCATAGGGTGGTTGGTAAGTGACACAAATTTTGAATCTTTTCTACTATCAATACACCTTATACTTGATCCTTTTATTTCAATTCTTCCGTGTTGTTTCAATGGTTTACCATCGTGTGTTGTCAATGTATTTTGTGAACTATCGTGGCGTAACGTAATAGCATCTTGAAAAGCATTCGTTTCAACAGAAACTTCATCATTGGTTTTGCCCAACAAGCAATTATAATCTCTCTGTATAGTTACTTTCTCTACCTTTTTATTATCTCCTGCATTTGATAGACCAAATCTTTGCGCGGTAGTCTTAATCACTGTAGGAAGTATAAATGGTAATGCATCTTGAACGGATGATAATGGTTCAACTTCAGTTTGGTCTATATCAAGCAGATCATCGTCAATTAAAATAGTTTCGTTAATTTGAGATTCCCCACTTTGTTGTCGCAAGCTTTCACATTCTTTCTTTCCATCAGACAGTTTAGTATCATTCAATTGTTTAACACCGCCTTTTGCTCGAGTTTGACTTCTCATTGCTCTAGGTTCTAGTCTGCAACTAGTGTCTTTTTTATCTCCAAATGAACTTTTAACAGTGGTATTTTTAGTATCTTCTTCAGTTTCACTATCACTTAATAAATTAACAACACTTGAATATTGCTGTTTATCCATTTTTAACTGCTGAAACTGGGGTCTTGGATATATGTCCCTTCGAAGCTGATAAAGATTTATTGATTTGATTAAAAGACCCAAGAGTTGGTGTATTATCTACTCGTACTGTATTTTATGATGTTGACTGCAAGTTTTCCTATAAAAAAATTCACAATATATTAATTTTGAACTGTATTGAATTAAATAAGAATATTAAGGCAATCGAAAGCCGTTTAATATTTCATGAATTTCTTCCATATTTTTGGAATAATTATCTTATTTAGCATATTTTGGAATATTTTGTAAATTGTGAGAAAAAAATATAAATTTATTATTTATTTTAATATTTGTATCATTTTGATAAAATGAATACATGGAGTGGTATGGCACCTATTAAAAGTTGCTGTGCCGATCACTAAGCATAGTGGGTAACCTGCAATGCTGGTAGTTGTTTTCATACTAATAAGATCAACATAGGTGTTTATTGCTTACCAAATATTCAAATGTACAAATATTTTCTTTGGACTTTTACTCATACATAATTTACTCATACACTCAAAACAAAATATATACACATAGAAATGAAGTGGATAATATACCACCTGTTTACTATGAAACAAACATTTCAACCTTTTTGCTTGTGAATAAAGGCTAACACTTAATTTTTGACAGACTTCACACGATTCAAAACACTAAATTACAGCTGTGACTAGTACTTTGATTTTAAAGTATCTTTTGATGTATTAGCATATAAAAATATGTAATCTATGCTCAATCAAACAATATATTTATTTTAAACATATTTCTTTACACTTCTATTAAATTTTTATGAAGTATAATATTATTATATTATTAGGTATTTATTTATCATTTTCTAAACCTTCAGTAATATGTTGCAGCATATCATTAAGATTAATTTATTGTTTTGGGTTTTAAAACGGTATTGTGATCCTTGAATACAATAACGCAACAATAGTGTGTGTTCTAATTAATTTGGTGTAATTATCAGTACCTAATGACGTGTATAAAAAATATAAAATTTAAATAAGTATTAACTAATAACACATTAGACACAATATTAGGTTTGTAAGAATAAAGTACATGTTTTCCTACTGTGATAATGGTAATAGTCAGAAGAACATTTTGCTCCCCAGCATAATATGACTTATTTCAAAATGTATTTGTTTTAGGTACGGTTATTTGTAGTCTTATTGACTGTATACGATCAATTATAGCTGACTATTGGTAATTATAGTCCGTATCGCAACATCAAATATCAATTCAAATAGTCGTGAGATATATTTATATATAAACATACATCATGTATAATATTATGTAAACGCTTAAAAGTCATGCTAGAAGTAACATTTTACATTGAACATCCAGTCCAGTATTACTGTTGGAAACACGTCAACTACCAACAAGGTAAATTGTTTATTAAATTAATTAATAATGGGTGAAATACAAATTTTGGGACATCCGCCTGATGAAGAAACTTCTTATACATTATACATTTATACGAGACTAGCTCCGGTCTAGCCAGGGGAGACCCCCGTACTACCCCCCCCCCCCCCCGTGTCAGTTGTAAGTGAGTAGGTACCGATTTTGGAGACAGAGTCTATTTAATTCAGAAGATATGGGTCGATAACTATTGTTTGGTAGAATTTAAATAATATAATACACAATATTAAAAAGTGGGTAAACACATTTTTCACAAAAACGAATACTAGGTGTAATGTACGAACAACAGTAAAGAAAGTAAAAAATGCAAGTAAAGCTCCTAGTAAATATTATGTAAATAAATTATTATATTTATGAATTAGAAATGTAATCTAAATGTTTTGTGATACTACTTTACAGAAAAAGTTATGTTTGCCACCATAGTTCTCACCACAAAGTTGACAGAATGTTAAACAAAAGAGGTTAATCAAAGAATACTCATTGCCAAGCATTTATTCAAATTTTAGTTAAAATAGACACTGTATCTACTAGAAAAAGTGACCCTTTTGTGAAGGAGGATAAAATATTAGTATTTACATTAAAGTTGTAGGTATGAAAATATTGTTTAATGCTGAATTTGAAAATAACAATTTAATCAACTAAAAAACATGAAATTAGGTATCATTTATTTATCTTAGTAGTAGGCACATCTAGTGATGTAAGTAGAAAATTTCAGTTCAGAAATTTCCAATAAAAATTTCCAAGGAAAAAATTGAACCATTTGTTTTTATTTATATAATTTTTGTTGTGATAAAATAGCAATACCCCGAATACAGAGTAATATAGGTAATACTGCTCAAATATAAATATTATCATTACCTCTGTACTTATTAATTTTGTTGAAAAATAAAATATTTAAATTAATACAATTTGTACAGTACATTGTTTTAATGTACATTATGAAATATATTTTAAAATTCAATAAATATTTCTAATTTTTACACGCTTTTAGTATAAAGTAAGTTCTATTAAAAATAAAAATTCAAATTTTAAATTTCAGAAATTTACAGACATTCATCCTTAGAAAATTCTTGATTATAAAATTTCTAAAATTTCACATCACTAATCACATTCCACATTCTTTAAATTTACTGAAAAATTTAAACATTAAATTATATGCTCACTAATAATTACATTTAATATTTCGTATTTATAGAATAAATACTTAGGTATGATTACTATAGTAAATACTCATAAACATAATATTAATACTGCTGAAGCGCTACTGTATTTGAATTCAGATATTAATTTAAAAAGTACATTTGAAGATTATTTCTCTGATGGGATGACAATATCATATGCATTACGGTAAATTTATTATATTATTAATAACAATATGACAGATTTAAAGTAGAATTTATGTTGATTTGTTATAATAGATAGTGCCATTTCATGTAAATAAAACATTATTTGATTGTATAATATTTATAATAAAATTGATTAAGCAAAGTTTGAATATACAGTTTTTCCGTTTCTAACATTAACATCAATTAACCCGTCAGTGGTTGCAGTGTGAGAGCGGCGCTCACCTTGTTAGTATTTTAAGAGCCACTTATTTATTTATTACTTGATTCATCTGATACTATTTATACCTTCAATTGACACATGTTTAAATATACTTTTGCAAATATAATTATTTTATAAATAATTCATGATCATATAATTATGTATAGAAATTATAAATTAATTTTAGTGGTTAACAATTTATAATCAAGAAAAATTTTAAGAAAAATGTTTGTAAAAGATTAAACTATAAAAATAATTTGTAGTTGGTTTCAATATTTTATGTTCATTATATAATAAATAATGATGAAAAAACTAGGTGAGCGCATAGATCACTCAATACCAATAGCGGGACTTTTCATAGCAATACCAACGACGGGTTAAAATTGACCACTAATTCAGTTAGTATTTCTAATAAAAGTTTTTATTATTAATTTATTTAAATGTATATTACCAACCTAAGTATACACAAAAATTATATGTATTATTTAATAATTAATAGATATCATGAGTGTATTTTAACAATGGAAAATAAAAAAATTGAAGATTTTGCGAATTGTAGAATTAACCCAACATATGGATGTGTTCAAAACTGGCTTAACCAGTGGAGATTACTAAACCTAAGACCTCATACTGGTCAAGGAGTTATTATGGTAATCAAATATATATATATTATATTTACACGATGAATATATTCTATAAATGTAACTATTCATGTTATTTACTATAGAACCATTTTTATTACAAATTATTAATAGTTTTGATTTTGTAATTCATCACACTACATCAGAACAGTAATCCAAATCCAGTAGACTCTTATAATTTCATAAGTATATTACAGATTTTACTTAACGGGTATTTTTTTTTTCAACTTTTCTAGTAATATTAAAATATTAAAATATTAAAATAGTATTAATATAGTAATTAATATTAAAATAGTATGTATTTATTTTCAGTTACTAAATTTTATAGTTGTATATTACAAATCAAAAATGTTCAACAATTCATTTTCATTTGGGCATTTGGGATTTATAAGTGTTAATACTATAATTAGCATATGACTTAAAATTACAGATGAATTACAGATGTTTAATAAGTGTTCCGTTTAATTGTGTAATAAATATTGCGTATAATTTGTAATAAATTATTTTCCATAGTTAATATCTTTGAAACTAGTAATTAATTCAAATTTTGCATTACATTCGTTACAGCTTATTACTTAAAATTGTATTTATTTTTATTTATTTATGTATTTTAGAAACTAGAAGAAAAAAAAGAAACTTATGCTACAAATAGAATTTTTATATTAACTCTGATTATGAAACGAGCCCATGATTTACCATTATCCAAAGATATTGATTTATGGACTCAATTAGTTCTTCTGATCATGAAAACCATTGCATTACATTTTACCTACTCCATGTGCCTGCAGCAGCTCCTTTAGGTGTAATTATATCCAAAGGCCAAAGTGAAGCATCTTATTCAAGTGGATTTAACTTAATAAAGCAAAATGTGAAAAATGCATTTGGTGGTCAAAGTTTCAAATCTTTATTTTTGACAGATAACTCAGATGCCCAAATCAATGCACTGAAAACTGTGTGGCCCACAGTCGAAATCGCTACTTTACATTTGTCGTGTACTACAATCAGTTTGGAGATGGTTCTGGGACAGTAAAAATAATATTAAAAAAGATGTTAGCACTTCTATGATGCATAGTTTTAGAAAAATATTATATGCAAAAACTTCTGGAGAGGCACAAGAAAAATATGTTGGAACTATGAATATAAAAACTAGGTAACTATCCTATGTGGCAAAAATATATCACTGTTCATCGCTGGAAATACAAAGAAAACTGGTATATAGCTTGGAGGGATCATACTAATAGAGGCCATCAGACCAACAACTTTAGCGAAGTATCAGTGAAAATTTTGAAGAAAATGTATTAGGTCGTGTGAAAGCATACAATGTAATTTTACTGATTGACTTTTGCTATAAAAAATTGGAGGAATACTATAAAAATATTTTTAGAATTTTCAAATGAAAGAAATTCTACTGCTACTGTTTTTTAAAAATTTAATTAAAAAAACTGATTATATCATCAGAGAAAAGATTACTGTAGGCTGTAGATTAAGAATTTTATGTCCCAAGCGAAAAAAATGATGTATTGTATTGAACCAAATATTGGTGTTTGTTCATGTGAAGCAGGTATTCTTGGAAAATTTTGTAAACACCAGTGCATAATTTATAAATATATTAAAACGACTGGAATTAATTTTCCTCCAATAACAGTTAAAGGTAAATATGAAATATCAAAACTTGCAATAGGCGATAGAGCTCCGTCAACCAAAGTTTTATGAAAGTCTAATACCAACCGAAACTCTGCATCAACAGCATGAAACAAATAAAGAGCTTCAATGTAGTGAAACTAATAGAGTTATTAATAAAAAAGTTAGTGATGAAAATAATATGAAAACTGATAAAACAATAGTGGATACCAGTGGCAGTTCTAGCGTATGGTCAGGCTGGGCTGCCCATACCAAAATTTCTGGTGCCCCTTATTGGGGAAGGGGGTGAAAATGAGGAATATTATTCGCAGTTAAAACCTGATTATAAATCTACTGTTGCCCATACGAAAATGTAGTCCTAGAACCGTGCCTGGTGGATACAGTTGTTACAAAAGATATGGATAAAAAAAATCATTTTTAATTTTTAAAGATATACAAAGCATATTATATTGGCAAATAACATTACAAAGTTTGGTAATTCATTTTATGAAAAATTATTAAAATTTAAAAGCAGACTGGCAAAAATTAATTCTGAAGGACAATCTAATACTTTTCTGGCAACTGCAGGATCTAAATCGACATAACTAAGACAAAGGAATGATGCAACTATAAGAGAACAACCATGTCGGAGAACACCTGAAATTACAAGAGGAAGTAAACGCTTGCTTGCAGGTAGGTATCTTCTTAATTAACTACAACATAACTATTATTGAATGATTTACTAATTTCATTAAGAGGACGCCACACCCGTCTTTCTGCATCAAAAATAATGCATTCGTATTTCAAATGCTACGAAGTCAATAATGGTCGTAGACCCATAAATAATACACCGTTTGAAAGGTGATAGTTTTTACTATGTTTTGTTGGAATCAGATATTTGAAATGTAATTTATTTTCTAAAATATAAGCAAATTAGTTTTTTATAAAACGATCTTTTGTTATGCCGTAATGCTTGCTTGTTAATACAATTTTCAGAAATTGGTTTCCAACAAAACATAGTAAAAATTATGGCCTTTCTAAGAGTTTATTTTTTATGAGTCTACGATCGTTGAAGACTTCGTAGCATTTGAAATACGTAGAAGGGTTTCCGAAAAAAATGTATAGTTCTATGCACCGATTGCACCGTCTACTGGCGCACCTAGCGGCTGTTTCATTGCAGTTAATTCTAACGGCGGCGGCGCTGTCCCGTCCCACTCTACGACACAACCAGTCGGTTCCGTCTCCTGTGGTACTGATAAAAATAGCACTGCCGAAATATAAATTAGCGGACTATTAACGTCGGCTATACGATTCCGTATCGGGTCGAGCAATAATAATGATGTAATTATTTAATATTATAATTTGTTTTTGAACTCCTTTGTGTATACTCTACACGCGCGGTGGCTTACGTGCAATTATGAAAATACGTATACCTACTACGTCGACAATAATACAATTATTGTATTTTCAAGAGTTATAAAAACTATACAGTTATATCGGTCGTATATACGACGAATTCTATGAATCGTCTACTACTCTACTACTAATATATACAAATTATAAATATAGGTATATATTTTTGAACCAAAATAGTTTTGTTAGACTGCGGGCACCGGGGGGAACACTATGTCTTTATTCAGACTTTAGTAATCACTGATCAGTTTAGTTTTAACTTTCAATCTGTCACCAGCGTTTATTGGTTATACCTAAAGTATACCAGTATTAGTTATTACTTATTTGATTTTGGTGAATTTAAAAAATGGATGACCGTCGGAATGACAAAAAGAAGCGGCTAGCACCTTCAAGATGTCCAAGTATAAATAAAAAAAATTTAGTTAGACTTAATAACTTTAAGAAAAGAACAGTGACATGGTAAGTATAATTTAATTATCATATTTTAGTACAGTTTAAATACGTAGGTATATTTTAAATAGGGAAGCGGAACCTAGCACACCGTCGAATATTCACTTATTAGGAACTGATGAAATAGAATCTTCACCATCGTTTATGCAAGTTAAAATGGATTAACTACGTGTATTTTTATTTTAAAAAATAAAAAACCATTACGTTTTATTATTTATCTATAGAGAACCTATGCTAACTAGTACGCCAAAAATTGATTCTACGACACATTGCCCTAAAACGTCTTCGTTAGATACAGAAGCAGGAAGTAGCTTAGTGTTCGGTGTACCTTTATGTAATGTGACTGATGTCGAAAATCATCAATTATGTGTAGATTCGTCATCTGATGCTGATACAGTGATTTCTAAGTATATTAATTTATGTTGTGTACTGTGTACACTATCATCACTATTTATAATAAATAACAAATAAATATTTTTTTATCTATTATTAACGTATATAATTACTTTGTAGCGCTCTTGAAGGCAGAAGAATAGTAGACATATCTCACTTATTCGATCAAATTAAAAATACAGTTCACGATTCAGCATTTGGCTGTACTTTTATAGATATGCAATTTCAGTCAGAATGTAGAAGAGGATATACATCAGTTTTTTTATTTAAATGTAAAATGTGTTGTAAAAGTAGTTCAATTACTACGGAAAAAGATGTACCAGAAAATAGTTACCTACCAATAAATAAAGCGGTTGTTAGTGGAAGTTTATCTATTGGTATGTAAAGAAAAGAAATAAATAATAATCTGTAGTCACATTTTTAAATTATTTAAATATTATTACTAGGGTTGAGGACTTATAGTAATTTTATAATTATTTTGCATATTTAAGAATATTTCGAGTTTTTTTTTGGTTTTAGGGCATATTTCTTCGATTTTATAATATTAGATGTATATATTAAATAGTTTATCATTTTATCAATATTTTTCAGTTGACGTTTTAATTTTATCTAACATAATTTATCTAATCTACATAATATTATATTACATTTTTATCGCTGTAATTAAAAAAGGTGGGCAAGTGGATGTCGCTCTGCTGTACAGTAAGTTACAAGTGGGTCACTGTATAATGGATGGTATTAAATTTGAATTCAATGATATAATATCATTGTATAAGAAAACGATTCTGAGCGGAGACGGTATGTCAGTCTAGGTTTAAGACATATATACTTATCTATGGTATTAAAAAATAATTCACCTATAATAAATTCCAAATTAATCATATCACAATATTCATTAGGTACTTATAACGCGTTATACATCCACAACAAACCGTGATACTATCATAGATATAATATAATAGTTTACTTTAGAAGTTTCAAGTACCCACGAATAATATTATACAATCACAACAAAATAACTAAAAAAAATATTCTAGGTTTTATAAGTTGTAATTTCGTCCAAATTTGAACTTAAAATGACTATAAAAATAAACTGTGTTTATGTATTTTTTAGATTATTTGGTAACATAATTAACTACTTACGTGGAACCTAGTTTTAAATTTTCAATCCTTAGCTATAAAAGTTGAACATTTTAAAAATTATTAACTACAAAATAATTATTACATTTTAAATTTATAGAAAAAATAACTAAAAAAATTGAAAACTGACAATGTACGTAAACAGCTCAAAAAAGGTCAAATTATTTTCAAAAATTTTATCGTGTATAGAAAATGCTAATATAAACATTAGGTGAAATTTTCAAGTATCTACAGTCATTAGTTTTTTAATTATAACAAAATAAGAAAATCTCTTCTTGTAGACATTTTTTTTTTTGATAAAGGTAGACAAACTTATGAGGAATCGTGTATTAGATTTTCAAATCTTAGATTTAAAAAGAAAATTTATTATGAATTTCTAACTCAAAATAAATTGCAAATTTTCGCGATTTTTCCGTATTTTTTCAAGATTAAAAATTTAAACGCGTATAAAAAAAAACTGTGAGTAAGGATTTTTAATTTTTTTCATCTGCCTTTGAAACAATAACCCAGGAGCCTTCTATTAAATTTTCAAGCTTTTTTAACCAACAAATAAAATTTTATTGATATTTATAAAAAAAAAAACTAAAGTATTATATTATATCATTGAATTCAAAATTAATACCTTCCATTATACAGTGACTCCCAGTAATCTACTGTACAGCAGAGCGACATCCACTTACCCCACCTTTTTGTTGTTGTTTAGTTTTCGACAAATAGTACATACATGTACTATGGTACCTACATAGTATTTGAATAATTCTACTAAAATATTTAATAAATAGGA